TATATTTTAAATGAAATGCTGTCTCCCTATGATTTTTAAAAATGTAGGTAACATTATTTTTTGAGAAAGATCTGGTTTGAAAGTACTGTAATACCTATGAGAGTCTAATCACATTTTACTTCAGCTTCACTGATATAGTAAAAAATAATTTAAAATGTTTGACAAATGAATCTATTTATTTGTTGGATTTTACAGTGACAATAGTCTAATCTTTATATTGGCCACCTGGAAAATTAAAAAAAAAAAAAAAAAAAAAAAAAGGAGTGAAGAAGCCCCTTCAGGTTATCCTTCCCTATTAGGATAATTACTTGAAAATAAAACTGGAAATTTTGAGCAGATTTCTAATGTAATTCTGTATTCGCAAGTGACTGTGTGCCATTTGCTCTTTACTATTGACTAGGTGTATTCTTTTATTTAGAAGTTTAGAATGTGTTGAATTGACTTCAGAAGACATTGAAATTTTCCACATAGAAAGCACTGAGGTCAAAAATTCCATTATTAGTGTCTCACTCGTGTTTGAAAGGAGGAAAAGATACTTTGTAAAGTATTTTGCAGGAGAGCTACATCAAATCATTTGCATATGCTATTGATTTACAGTTCGAATTCTAAGTTTGACTGATTTGCCTGAGCAAAGGCAGCAAGTGGAGGCATTTAAATGTCTATTATTTTCATACATGTCATACTAAATATTGTTACAGTAACTTACATTAGAGCAAGATGCATTTTTTCAATCTTTCAAGTAATCTACCACTTTATAAAATGATATGCTTAAAATAAATAGAAATCTTTCTGTTTTGTAACTCAAATGAATGAATTATATTTGCAGTATGAACTACAAATTAAGTATTAAAATGAAGTATATTTTGTTGGCAGTACTAAGTGAATGCTAATGTAGGTAATGTAAATTCCTTTTCAACTGATTGCATTATTCTTAGTAGTATAGTTAACGTTTTAAATATTTTAAGTCAGTTTAAATAGAAAACATCCGCTTTATTTTCTTGAGTTATCTTTTTTATTCTTTCTTCTTACAATATATGAAAAAATCTGGAAATGTGTACACCACTGTGTAAAAATTACATTCATACATTAATTGTAGTTAATTAGTTGTAATTAATTATAACATCATAGAAGGTCACAGGAATATGTGGCAGCAGTTTATAAATAAAAATACTAATGTATTACTTTACCCTTTAAAATATGCTTGAGGATAATGTAAAATGCAAGAACTCCATGAGGCCATGTATGTTAAACCCATGAGATATACTGAAGCTTCAATAACCAGGGTGTAAATAAGCTACCAAGGTAATCCCTTCCTTAAATCAGTTCCTCTTTAGTATTTTTCATATCCTTTTAAGCAGAAATGAATATTTCTGCTTAACATTTTAGTTGAAAGCAAAACTTTTAGCTGAGATACTCTGTAAAAGTTGCCAGCATGTTTCAAAATTGCTACATTAGTTCAAAAATTTTTGCTTTATTTTAGTTGTAAATCAGCTAAATCAACGTTAGCTATAAAGCAGTTGTAAATTATTACCTAAAAAGTTCAATATTATTTTAAAAATATTTTTATCAATATATATTATTAAGAAAAATGAGATTGACCTTTAGTTTTTTTAAAATGACTGAGCTAGTGCATTTCAGTTAAGAAGAGACAATATTTATTCAATAGTAGATTGAAAACATAGTTACGATTTCACAATGTAGCAGGGTACCTGGTGATACTTTGTAATGAAACCTGCATTTTTTCCATTTGTAGGAATAATACATAAAATAGGATGACCACTGTATGTGTGCCTCAGTTGTGTGATTTCAAGGTAGCTGTATTTTGCTATAGGCTGGAAAAATGTGTGCTGCTTTAGTCAGAAATGTATCTAAATAGTGCTTTTTGTGCTCACCTCATTATTATTTACCAGAGAAAGACTATAAAACATTCATAACCATGTAAGGGGAAACAGAATGGTGAATGCCTTCCATTTTCCTTTTTATGTAATTTAATCTGACAACTGTAGTATTTTTAAAAAAGATAGATACACAAATAATATATAGAATCACAAAATAATAAGGTAATCTATGTAAGTTCTGTTAGTATTCTTTTAGTGTTTTTTCAGGTTTACTTTATGTTAGCATCACGCCCTTTTCTTCCAGTTTCCTTATAAAACTAAAAAACTGCCTATATATGAGTTACTTAAAATTTTATACACATTTACTTTCAGTGTACTTCTTTTCAATGAAGTTCCAGTTCCCCTGCCCATTGACATATATGCTGCTACTCTGCAGCAAAATTTAGTTTCAGAAATGTCAAACATTATAATAATAATAAATGAAATAAACAAAATCAATAAAGGAAAAGTCACGAAAGAGGAAATTGGCTAGAAATGCTCCTGTTGCCGTGGTCTCACGTTCTGCATGCCCTCTGATTCATTAATCAAACCAGAGATACAGAAATATGTTCCCACCTTTTCTATTCTTGCTCAGTAGCACTGGGGTGGCATGTATCAAAAGAACAACTCTTGAAAACAACTTATTGTCAGTGACTGCTGTCTACTTGATCTAACCACTTCTAATACTGGGCTAGAGTAGTGAACTAGCATGCCAAGAATCAGTTCGTAGTCCTTTTACCTTTATTTTTTTCCTCAAGTAAACTGCAAGCAAATAATAGATGAAGGCTTAAGTTACATTGTTAAGCTGCAAATTGCACACACTGCAGCTATCAAAAGTATTTCAGTCCTTGGCTCTGGTTCTGGCCCATTTGCAGATAATAGGCTAAAGCATTCTGAATTTAACAGCGTTGCCTATGCTGAGGAAGCTACTTTAGAGCAGTCCACTGCACTCCTACTGCTGGAGATTTTTTTATCCTCTATTATGGCAGTTCTTTCCAGGAGGTTTTGTAAAATATTATGCACATAGAAGATAAATATCATTTCACACTCAGATATTTCTAGAAAATGTTGTATCATCAGCCATACAAAAAAAGAAGTAACATCAAGAGAGTAGATAACTGTAATTAAAGAGCTGGGTTGAGATACATTCCCAGCTTCATTTTCCAACTCTGTTACAGACACTCCTGTGAAACCTGTTGTTAGTGTGGTCATAATGGTAGTAGCATGATAGGAATAGTTTATGACTACGTCGATGTAAAAATATGGTAGAAAAGCAAATAATACAGAATACAATTAATTCCATACAAAAGATAACATTTATTGGCAAGCTATAAACCTCCCTGGACCTTTATGTTTCCTGTATTTTTCAGTACAGGCCGGTTCTACCTTTAATATGAAGACACTTTTTGAAGCAGCTGTTCTTGGTGTTCCCTTTTTTTCAACCTGTTTCCAGGTGTTTTATACTGTAGGATATCTGTTTTCTACATATAGGTTAGTCAGAATAGGTGAAGGACCTGTGAAATGTGTCAAGGATTGGTCTAGCATTGACAGGGAAGTAGTAGGATAAGAACTAGTCTTGACAACATCTAGCATTTCCTGAACCCAGCACCATTCAGAAAAGACTTATCCAGGCCAGAGATACTACCGGTCATGCAGTAGCCCTGTCTTCAACCACGTGTCTTCGGCTGAATCACACTGAATCAAGAAAATCTGAAAAGATAAAAGGGAAGATCCAGTTATATATTGCAGCCTGGTAAATCAACTGCAGGAACTGCAGGAAATTGAGTTTTTTCAATTTCCAGAAATTTTCTTCATTTCTGACTAAGAAAGAGTATATCTGAGATGTCTCATGAAAATCTAATAAAATAATTTCCAAATTCAGTGGAAATACTCATTTTAATTTCATTATATTTTATGTTAGACTGTGAAGAATAAATATTTGATTTTGACTTAGATGAGGTACTTCAGTGTCCATCATTAGCCAAACTTTCTTGATATTCACTGTATTTCATTTTAGCATAACTGTTTATTTAGGATAATAGCTATTTTATGTGAGTATTTTATGGTGTGATATGCTTTCTAAGAGCAAAAATAGTGTTTGTAGCATATCACTCAGAAAAATATCTTCTTTCTCTTTAGTTTAATGTATATTTTGGGATATTTACACAGGTATGTACCATGCAAGTGATGTACTGTGCAGATAAGATCATAATCACATTTTTCCTTTTATTTAGATATTCAAATCAGTTAAGTATTTTTCTTCTTCTACTGACTATGAATAAATGTGGTCTCTTTAACTACCATTATGAACTAGAATATGTTAATTACTGAATAAGCTTTTAGGTTTTGAAATTGTCCCACACTCCCAAAGAAAACCTCTTAAGTCCACTAAAATGGGTTACTTTTCCCTAATAGGTGCTCATTTGTTTCATCCACATCTAGTATCTCTGGTACTTTATCATGCGATAGACTTCTTATAATCTCAGGAAAGGAACGTCGCTTGTTAAAGCTAAGGAATAAAGATATTTGGAGAAAATTCCGTTAGGATGGCAGCCACTGAGGTCTTTGCTGCTGCTGATCTGAGTGTCAGGGAGTATCGAGGGCTGACTGCTCTATGAGGGAAGGGGAGCCAGGAGTCCAGACAAGGCCTCCAGGGGCAGGGGCCTGACCACCAGGGACGCCATCCAACAAAAGTTGAGCAAGCACAGGGCCAACAACAGTAGCCAGGGTCAGCCAAGCACGCCAGATCACCAGGGAAGTGTACAGGGATGGGGCAGGTCTGAGGTCAAGCCAAGGAGCTAGTCCACAGGCCAAGGTCAGGGTCCAGATCAACAGGGTACGTCGCGGGACGTGGGCATGGCTGCAACAGAACTCAGCTGGGCGCTAAGGACAAAGAGCCTCCACTTAGATGCAGCTCCCAAGAGAAGGGATAGTCACCAATGAAGTTTCTTCCAGCCCTTGAACAGGTTCAAGACCGGTTAGGGTTTCTCAAAACCAGACATATGCATTATCTAAGTTGGTCTTGAGCTCAGACTGGTAACCATCAGGAGGATCTGCAACCCTTAGTACTCACATTATGTAGTAGAATTCACTCATTCACACTCAGTGTAATCTCTCTTTCAGGATTTGAAGGTACTTACTGTGAAGTCAACATTGATGAGTGTGCCTCCCATCCATGCCAGCATCAGGGTCTCTGTGTGGATGGGGTTAGCTATTACAGGTGAGGAAAATTCTCTGAACAACAGATATCCGGTATGATACATGGATACTTACCATTCAGCTACTTTTTGGTCCTTTGTCTGTGTTATCTTTACAGTTCTTCAGTGCTCTAATATGTCTTTTTTTTGTGATGGGTTTGACTCATTGCCCTGTTATATTATGTTCAAAATCTTGCCAAAGGAAAACACCCTATAGATGAACCTGAGAATTTATTGTCAGGATAATTAAAATCTTCATAAGCTAATCAAAATATAATAGATAGTTATTATTAGTCCAGTTATAGTAATATTAATACTCATAGTCAAAATCAATACAAAACAAAATTGTTACACAAGAAAACTTAAAATTATCTACCCTTTCTCTTTAGTGTGATGATCACCCTCCAATGTCCCTTTGGGCCTGAGATCAATGGTTTTAGTCTTCCTCAGAAAGAAGTGGGATGGGGATGGGAGTGGAGTCCTGACATGTTGGTCTTCCCAAGAGGAGTGTGGTGTTCATAGTTGGGGTCTTGGGCCTACTAGGATTATTTTGATGTTTCCTTACGCTAGCCTGCTTCCCTCCCTGGCACTGCCAGCTGCAGTGTGACAGCTGCTCCCATCCCAGACCCATGATACAAAGGCTGCTATTTGCAAGGCAGTGACTGCCAGGGGGAGGTGCTAAAATACAGCATTTTCTGATGATTAGAAGAAATCAAACATAATTTTGAACTTTCTGCTAATTTTCATCCTTTAAAATCCAGCACATATTTTTCAGTATTCTTTTTAAATTAGACTAAAAAGTAAAATTATGACATTTCTTGCTAGATGCTCCTGCCAGCATGGCTTTACTGGAACACTGTGTGAAGTGGAGATTAATGAATGTTTATCAAGACCGTGCAAAAATAATGGAACTTGCCTAGATCTCATAAATAGGTGAGCTACTACAACTAGATGAAAAAAAAAAAAAAACCTTCAGATTTCCTCATTTATAAAGCCTACTCACTGCCTTGAGGTTTAACTTAACAGTGTATGACAAGGATTCTATGTTAAGATGAAGTAGGCAAATCCTGCTGACTCAAGTATTTGCTTCTTAGGTCACCCAAAAGGAAAATAAAAGAGAAACTGGGTTAAGCATACCTCTTCTTTTCCTCCTTATTTTTTTTAATTTGGAATAAGAGTGAAGTAGAGTTAGGAATATTGATTTAAGTTAATTTCCTATAGCTCTCTTTTTAGCTTCAAACAATGACGTTTTCTAATGTAAATGTTTACTAAATTGTAAATTATAAACAGGGCAAAATACTACATTTTGTATTTGTATCCATGGCATTCTACAGCTATTCAGAGACTTGTGTCAAAAGAACTTTAGTCCTTATGTCATTCCCCATAGCTGCAACTAAAACTATTGTGTGCAGTTTTCCTACTAATTTAAAAAACAATAAATCACTCTGCTTACTTCAGAGACATGAAAATAAGGAAACTCTGTTAATTATTTTAACGTGGCTGGTGATTAGGAGACCACAACTTGACACTGGAACGTATGGATAGCTTCACAATGTTGAAATCGAACATATTGTTATTTTCTGTTGACTTATCTGATTTTCACTTTTCTGAAGATTCCTCTGTAATTGTACACCTGGATACTATGGGTCTCTCTGTGAGATGGATGTAAATGAATGTGAAACTTTGCCTTGCTTGCATGAAGGAAGCTGCATCAACAGGCTTGGAGGCTATCAGTGTTTCTGTCTCCCTGGGTTCACAGGTATAGTCTATTCTCTGCTACAGTGAAGAAGGCTATTTCACAGGTATTACATGTTTTTAATTTCATTGCAATGGCCTCAACTAAATCAAGGAAGAGTACCGGGAATCATCTGCTTATTGGAGGAGAAATCAATATTAATTCAAATAGATCTTTGATCCAATTCTCGCTAAGTAGCTCAAGACTGTATTTACATTCATGCTTGATTTATAATTTCTTTAGTCACTCAGATATTCAGCTGAAACACCTGAAAAGAGAGGTTATATAGTGCAGGGAAAATCAATATTTTCTGAATCCAGCCAAGGCAAAAAATAGTGCTGTAGACAGAGAGTAAATTTTAGAAACACAGTAAAATGCTAATTCTCTTTTGGATTTGTGCATAACCATAAAGACACCTTGACTTTACTGACCTGTCGAATTGAAACTGTTGCCTTTAGTATTAATCTTTACATTTTTATGGAACAAGTGACAAAATATTTAATAGATGGAGATATACTGAAATTTCTTGAAAATCTCTTCCAAGAATAGTTACCTGGTCTGCATGTAGCAGAACAAACAAGACATACTTAATGCTTTGATATATTTAACTTATACTTAATGCTTTGATATATTTAACTTAAGGAACCTGACTACACATGGCATCATGTGGCAGTGTTTTCAGAAATATTTATAGTTGTCTGCCTTAAGTTGCATCATTTCTACATACTTCTTGCATAAAATGATTTTTTCTACTCGTCCTGGCCTTCGATGAATATCAGATAAGTTCGTAAGATTAGAAAGGACTCAACTGGCATCCACTGAACTGAGAAAAATGTAATTTCTCCCCAGAACAAAGAACAAGTAAAGCTTAGGGAATATCTGTATAGCTATATATCCTTATTCCATTTACTGTAAACCTTAATCAATGTACACAGTTTGTGCAGTATTCTTCAAAATTTTCCTTTTTACATTTCACCAAAATTTAGAAAAAATAGGTATAATTCTCTTGCCTAAAACTTAAAAAAAAATTTTTCCAGAATATTCTCTTTAGAAGCTATATTCTTAACAGTATTTGTTCCATGTCATAGAAACTTAGATGCATAAGATAGTGTTGTTGCATATTTGTACTTTAATAACTGAATTTTAAAACCATTGACTTTACCTTTATATATATATTTCTGTAAGAATTCCTAGTTACAGTCGCCTATACTTAAAAGGCTTATGAGACTCCAGGTGTTAATTTGAAAAGGAACAAGCAACCTGCAGCTGTGCTTTTCTTTTATGATTTTTCATTATTGACTAAGTAGTTTGACTTGAGTTCTTTTTCCAAACCCACTTTGCAAAGGAAAATAGTTTTTTCTCAGCTATAGTATTTGTTTACTATTACATATAACTATTAATATTACAACGTATTTACTGTTTAGTACCTTTACAAGGATAGTTGTTTTCTATGTAGGGTTAATTACTTACTAAAAAGGGTGGTGTGATACGCAAGTGACTCTCAAACACTGAAGCATTCTCTCAAACATTAGTGATAGACTGTCCATCACTTGATTATAACCAGTGTTTTTCCCCTCAGTGTGTAACTATTTCGACATCCACTGTGCAATGTACCAGTTAGACTAACTCTGAACTAAGGGTTTAAAAATGAAGTTGCACAGCTCGATCTGCAGCCTCTTCCATTTCTTTTCGAGAGCAAGCATAAACTGGAAAAAGTTTGAGGTGTTAGCTGACCCAGAACTGAGTGAAAAAAGTTTGATTTCAAAGTAAGGTCTTATCAGAGCAAAACTTTACTTTTCTGAATTATGAGGCAAACTTCAGTAAAATTAGCTTCTGTGAATCATTTGATTTTGAATATTCCACATCAATGTGCCATGCAGTAGGAAGAGTATATACTAGTGGTTTAAGGCTCTGAGAACTTTTGTTTACTACAAATTTTGCCATCTACCTTGTTTCCTGATTTTACAACTGAATAATACCTGAAGAATTTTGTAGTATTGGCAATTGTATTTCTGCCTAAAATTAGTACCTAAAATCAAAAATACCTTAATTGTTTCCTGAGCCACTGTTTATATGTAATACAACCATATCGTTTATAATTGGAGATAATACTGTCTCACTGCTAAAATTCTAATTTTTATGATAAGGTTGTTTTTTTGTGATTTTTTTAGGCAAACCATCAAATTCCTTAGGAATTAGATAACACCCCATTTACAGAAAAATGTTATATATGGATCTTTAATATTCGGAAGGACTATGGTAGAACATCTCACTGTAGACCTAGAAGGAATAGGTTCAAGCTCAAGATAATTTTATCATTTAATCTTGTCCAGAAATTTATCAAGTGCCTTATTATTTACTATACCTTATTATAGGAACAAAATACAGATGCTGAAATGCAGTCTTCAAACATTTGAATTTTTCCACCCACAAACAGTAAATACCTTTTACAATATTTCTATTTTTTACAGCATTTAAGAGGTGAAATGATTTCTGTACTAAATCATGTCAGATTATTACTGCTTCTTTCTTACAGCATATTATCATTTATTGTTTAGTGGCAAAGAGAAGGAGTCTGAAAATGTTACTGTTGTCCGTGCCTTAAGTCTAAAAGCCAAAATTGGTAACCCCTTTCTAAAAGAAGTGATCTATATTCTGTGTCATTGTAACACTCAAAATCTTGTTTTGGGGCAAAGAAGAAATACACATCACGTATACAGTCTAATTAGAATCGTTGTTAGTCTAGGTATAATTCTTACAGAAAGAGTACGTCTCTACAGAAAAAGATTCAGAAAGATTCAGTAATAATAATAATACAATTAAAGGTCTTATACACACACTTCTTACTTTCTATCCCTTCTCCTGATGTCCTTCCCCTGCTCTTCTTGGTCCTAAGGTCAGTGATTTCTGATTCTGGTGATTTCTGATTCTGATTCAGTGATTTCATTCTGGTGGCAGTGGTGGGGTGTTACGGCAAGTTGTGAGTATCTGGAGCCTTTTAGCAAGGAGGAAGGTACTCTTTGTGTTGACAGTTTCTTCTTCACAGAATCACAGAATGGCCAAGGTTGGAAGGGCATTCTGGAGATAGTCTACTCCAAGCCCCCTGCTCAAGCAGGGTCATCTAGAGCATGTTGCACAGGATCGCATCCAGACAGGTTTTGAATATCTCCAGGGAAGGAGACTCCATAACCTCTCCGGGCAACCTGTTCCAGTGCTCAGTCACCCGCACAGGAAAGAAGTTTGTACTTGAGATTACTTGAGACGCTTTACAGAAAGCATTTCATCAACTAAATACAAAATAATCCCATTTATTACAATGAAACTGATGCTTCAAAAAACATTTTCAGTGACTCTGTGAACAAAGAAAGTATGTCAAATGTATGTTTCGCTGACAAGCATGTAGACTTGTAAAGCAATTTACAAACAGTTGAGATTTTGAAAACTTTCATTTTGAACGATTGCAAATAATTTTTCCTAATTTTTCCTACCTGATTTTGCAATTTGTATTGGTTTATGTCACCTGTGCTATAGAAAAGGTAGCTGTACAGTTTCTGAGACTACCAGGCTTTGGAATTTTAGATAATGAAAAAAAAAAAAAAAAAAAACGCTTTAAACCCACCAAATACTAGCACTGTCGTGGTTCTGAATTTCTAACAGTATAATCAAGTGGTTGAACTCTTTAGGATAAAGGACAATAAAGAAATTATCTTCAAATCAAAGTCTAGCCTAGGCACAGTAGAAGTATCAGTATCTAGAATAGCATTATATTTACTTTTTTCTGTTTATATCGTACCTTTTTCATGTCTCCATTTAATTAATATTTTATTACCTGTACCCTTCATTTCCTGCTCATGTTCCTTTTGTGTCATACATCAAATTAGTTACACAATTAATATTTTGGGCAGTTATGGCTGTAGTCTTGTGCATAGATATATTCATATTATAAAGAAACACCAAGGAACATATAGAATGTACTGCCTACTATTACTCTAGAAATAGTGAATTACTTTCAACCAGCATATTTTTGGAAGGATTGCACTGAAGTAAAGGCCTATTCTTTGAGGCTCTGCCAACTGACCAGTTTCTATACAAAAATCCAAATGTCACTTAAGACAACAAAATGTCAAGTATTGTGCAGATGATCAAAATCTGATTATGTGTCTCTGCTGGATTTCTAATGCTTTTCCTCTTAACTGGCTCAGAGCCTCCTCTAGACTTCGTTAGATACCTTGGCCTTGAATTTTTTTGTAGCTGGAAGACAAAGGGTGCCCCTCAAGTGCTACCTGCTTGAGATGACAAACCCCACATCTCAGAAGAGATTACAAATTCACTTGTCTTGTTATGATACTCTTTCTTCTATTTTACATTTTCTTTGGTAACTATTACGATAGTGACATTTAAGTTGCTGTTAATAGGGTATCTGAGCTGAGGCAGTTGGTGCCTCTAAAAACACATTATCCTAAATCATTAGATTCCATTGAATTTACTTTTTCTGTGTCTGTCATTTTAGATATCTCTCTGTCTGTCCATCTATCTGTCATTAGCTTTATTACTGAAATGCTTGCTGGGGAGGCTTGTACTGTAGTGTCTGCAATCCATATATGACTTCTAATACAATCTGAAGCTGGTGGTGACTAGGCTTTTTAAGCTTGTGATGAAAAATACATATGAGTGAACTTGAGAGAAGTAGAAATGACTGTATGTGTCATTAATATTTCAGAAAAAGAAAATCACTGGAGCTGGAATATTGCATTTAATTAACTTCTCTAAACTTTTCACATAATATTTACAGATTTAGCTGGGCAGACTCATCTGCTCTCTGAATTAAGTTAGCATTGGTTGGTTAGTATTATAAATACAGGATTTATCAAGAGAGGGTAAAACAAAACTTGCCCCATAATCAACAAAGCAGTAAAATAAACAGATTTCCTAATTTAATATAAAAATCATTTCATGTTGTTGTCAGTGTCATTATGTAAAACTACTATGTTGGTTCTTTTTTCATCTGTAAGAGGGGAGCTAGT